CGAAGAGTGTGGCCAGCTGTCGTGAAGGTCCCGTGGATTGATGATCGCAGACCTAAGCAGAATTATGATGCCATCAGAGGCCGAGATTTGAAGATTACACAGAGGCTGGCCAAGAGACCTGAAGAGTTAGCAGCGTATGAAGCGGCAGTGGACGAGCTCTTGAAGTCCGGGGCGGTCGAGGAACTCCCACTGGGGGAGGACCCGAGGAAGTGGGCCTACCACTATATGTGTGGGGTTCCGGTCTTCGCCAATCAGCGAAAGTCCACTCGCTGTCGTATCTGCATCGACGCTCGAGAGCTTAACAACTTCACGAATAAAGAAGGGGACGAGGAGGCCGCGGACATGGACCTACAGTCACGGATGCTAGAGTGGCGAGCCTCAAAGAGAGTTGATTGTGAGGACCTCAAGAAGGCCTTCTGGTCGGTTCACATCGATGAATCGGATGTGAAGTGGTTGGGGATGTGCGTCGGGTCGAGGATCATAAGGTGGATCCATGTCCCTTTCGGGACGAATTGGTCCCCTTGGGCCCTCTCCTCGGTCTTGGGAAAGATCCTCAAACAGATCGGGGGGACGGACGGTGCCGAAGCTATCTCCTTCTATGTCGACGATGTCCTTCTGCGAGGGGACAGTTGCTCTGAGGTGTCGAAGATTCGTCGGGAGGTGGTTCCCGCATTAGAAGAGCGGGGGTTCGAGGTCCACCAGGACAAGCGAATGTCCAATCTCGACACGGGTGAAGACTGTATAGGTCGAGGGGTATCTAAGGAGAAGATTCTCAGTGAGAAGTTCAGAACAGGAGGTTGGCTCGGTTACGACTGGCTCTGTGGCGAGCGAATTGATGTTATCGATGTGCGGCTGCGACAGATAGAATTGGCGAAGGAATCCAAGGTCACGGAGTCTGCCCTGAGATCAGCATTTGGCAAGTTCTTCGACCCCATGGGTCTTTTCGCGGAAGTGTCCTTGGAGCTCAGATGGGCGGCTCGGCTGGCTCATGAGAGACTGAAGCAGAGGAGGAAGGACTTCGAAGATGGTACGGACATTGTGGACGAGGAGACGGCATCTATTATATTGAGTACCATTACTGCATGTAACTCATTCCTGCAATCTGATCGTATTCTTCCCCCTCGCTATCTTGATGTG